TTACGTCTTCCTGCCACCCTACATGTAAGGTTTTCATTTAGGAAAACAATGAAAATTATCTCAAAATAAATACAGAAAAGGAAACCTGTTTCTGAGACACATGTGCCAGGTTTTCCATGAGGCCTTCTTAATCGATGCAGGCAGAATCGATTTCTTATAACACCAGGGAACGGTAGGGAGAGCTCACCGGGGGCCGGCGGGCGGCACGGCTCGCTCTCGCTCAGTCCTTACACTGACGCAGACCCCGCTCCCCTGTTCCAGGTGCCGCCAGCACCTCTCCCAGGGCCCCAGCCGTGGGAGCCAGGGCTGGGGGTTTGGACACAGGAGGGCTCCCGCCGAGCCGGTGGGGGTTCAGCCCAGCCCTGGCCAGCATAGAGGGCCCCAGAAAGCTGTCTTAGTTGCCTGCTTCGATTTCTTTACCAGCAAATGGATGTCAAACGGCAGCCTCCAGTGAGGTCATTAGGAGGATTAAAGGAGTTAATTCTCAGGAAGACAGCTCGGCTCACTGCAGTCGGGGTCGGATTATAATATCTTCGTGTCAGGCCTGTTCTCTGAGCCCCCACTGAAGGCCGAGGCTCCCCTGGGGCCGGGGTTTGCCAAGAACCCCAGCACCATCGATGGGTGGGACTGCTCCGTGAAATAGCAAACAGAGAGCTTAGAGGGACTTCAGAAAGGGACGGCGGGTTATGTCATTTGTATTTGCGTCAAGGTAGAATCTCACTGCAGGCAATATTATTAAAATAACAGGCTGTAAAATTCCGTTTGCGTATTTTTGATCGGATGACACATTTTCTCAAGATGGTGTCTATCACAAAAGGTCCTCCCCCCCCTTCAAATGCTCTGTCTGCACTGGGCATAGGACACACCTCGGCGCCTCTCCCTCTCGCGTCCTGGGGAGGAAGGGGGTGTCACGCCAATGGAGCTCATGAAACTGGCCTCGCCCCTCTGTGCAGCGAGTTCCAGCAGCCAGTCGGCGGGGTCTGAGCCGGTGACGGCTGGGAGCCGCAGGCACTCAGGGCCCTGCTGGCCGACCTGCCAGGGAGTCCAGGATGGAAGCCTGGCCCCAGGGCAGCCCCAGAGTCTAGGCTCCTGATAAGCTCTTCAAGGTCCCTACAAACCCCCCCCCCCGGAGTGGGGAGGAAGGGCTGGGGGGACGGTCACCATTCTGTTAAGGACCCATTTCGGCCCCTCTTGGCACATGCCCTCCCAGCTGGTCTGTGACTGGGCTTTCAGGCTGGGGCCCAGCAAGAAGTCTCAGTTCTGAGAGGAGTGATGTGGGTGGTGGGGGAGGTTTGTACTTTCTACCACGGCCCCATGTCGCTCAGGCCTCACCTCCTTTTTGGAGTGGAAGGATGGTTTCTGCTCATGTGGAAGAGTTATGGGTAGAGTGGAAAAGCGTGCCTTAGGGTGAAGCCAGAGGCAGACGTACCTCGTGTCCTTGGGGGAGATGAAGCGGGTGGAGAGGGGCCGAGCATGGCCCTCCTGCAGCCCGGCGTCCCCTCCAGGAGGGTGGAGGGCAGTGTGAGGCCAGCCCTCCCTTCCGCCTCCCACCGCCAGGTCAACACAACCTCTGACCTGCGGGAGGGAGGCTTGGGTTTGCTAAAAACAGGAGTGATGCGCAGACAAAAGCAAAGTGCTTTATATCTATTTTGGTTTCTCTTACGCTAAGCAGAGATTTTTCTGGAAAGGATGGAAGCTGGCCGGCCTCCCTGGGTGGAAAACAGCCCAGCGAAGCACCGGCTTTGCTCCAGTCCTCCTGACCTCCACTCTCGCTCCTGATTCTTGATGACACAACGCATCGGACGCCTTGATTGATCTAGCGGAGGGGGACACGGAGGGTGGGAGGAGCCTGTCCTTTCTGCAGATGGAAAGCCCGGCCCCAGGCTGCCATGGTCTGGGCCTGAGAAAAGATTAGGTCCCTTGCCTTGGTCCGACGCTGGGCTTGGTGGCTGTGAAAACGCAGCCTCCCTAGTTCTTCCCTGGCAGCAGCGGGTGACCCGGTGGGAGGCGCTTCCCCAGACCCTCTCCCCGTCCCCCTCTGCCCTGCATCTGCCCCTGACTCCTGTATACACTCAGGCTTGTATATTCGTTTCCTGACCGAGTTGCTACACAGGGTGGGCAATAGCAGGGTGGCAGCTGCTCACAAGGAAAACACGACAATAATTAGTAAATAATAATACAACTCTAAACCTACTTTTGCCCACCTGTGCATCTCTCTCTGGCTTCGGTTGCCAAGCAGCCAGAAGCAGGCTGAAAAGGGTCACCTGTCACCCTCATGTGCTACGAGCAGTCCCCCTGCCTTGCCTGGGCAGGTGGAAGGCTGCTGCTGTGCCGCCTCCTCGGAGAGCTGGGCCTGGAAGCCCCGCCCGCGCCCCCCCCCCCCCACCGCCTGATGTTCAGCACCAGCATATCATCAACGCCCACTTCCGTAGCTTGAATCAGACCGGGCTTCGTGCTTCTTTCTGAGACTCACAAACCCTGGTTTTCTACAATCTTATTTAGAGGCTTAGTGGGAAGCAGGCAATGTTCTTGTTTGTGGAGAATTGGAGACACTGGGAGTCGGAACTGCAGGCCCCAGTGGCCAGCGGATCGCAGGCTGTGACGGCAAGATCACCCAGGGGAGAAAGATTAGCCCTCCAGCCCCAGCCCCAGGTCGGTCAGGGACGCTCCCGGACACCTCCCCGAAACCTGGAGCCACACTTCCACCTGCTGATGTGGGACTTGAACAGTCACTGGTGACACACCGGAACGAGGTTTCTTCTAAATGTCACGATGCTGTGAAATGACTCAAGCCCATTCCTGAAACTCCGAGCTGGGAGCTGGGCTGTCAACAGCCCTTTCCTGATTTTTACATGAATCACAGAATTTTGACCCTGAAGTGTCCTCAGCAGTTCACCTTCTCCAGTTCCTCACAATCACTGATGTGGGTGGAGCCTGAGGACCTAGAAGAGCTGCGTCCCCACCCACCGAGGTCTGAGGGGACAGGTGGGGGCGGGGACCAGCCTGCGTGCATCCCGGTCCTCGGTTCCAGACCCCAAATGGCCTCTGGGTTCCGGGGTCACATTGGTAAAAGTGGACGATGTGCTTTGTTCTGTGGTTTTGGGGAGAGCAGAACCAAACCCTGTTCCTGTTTCTTGGGTGAAAGATGGCACACTCACCTCATGGTATTCGTTTATTTGGTGCCAATATTTACCGAGGGCCCAGCGTGTGGCCAGGGCAGAATCCCTGGAGGAAAAAATTGTCCAGTATCCCCGCATCTGGCTGATGCTGCACTCTCATCCCGGTTTTCAGACTTAAAAATACACGCAGACCCTGAATCCCCGCCTTCCCTGTCCCCGTGGCTCCGCCGTCCGGGGCGGGACACACTGAGCCTCTTTATTTTAAAATAGCTCCCCTGACAGCCTGCCAGGTCTGGGCTCCACGGGGTCCTTTACTACCTTCATGGAGACAGTCAGACAGGCGAGGCCCCCACAGGCGAGGGGACGGAGTCTCACGTACACGAAGTGGGGGTCTCACAGGGAGTTAGGAATGAGCTGGTCAGTGGGGCTGCTTTTCAGTGTGACTTTCGGCCCGCGTGCCTGGACAGTCACCTGCAGCTCGGGGACCCAGGCCTTCACCGTGGTGCGCTGCTGGGGACACAGTGACGCTGCCTTCAGGTGAGAACGGGGTCTTCTCAGGACCCCCCAGTCCCAGAGCCTCTGCTGCTGACCGTGGTGAATTTTGCCGACATGCAGACTAGGGAAAAGGAAATTTTAGCCTCCATCTGTAAGTCAGGGACTTGTCCTGGGTTTCAACGGGAAGGCTTAGTCTGTAGAACTGGCCTAGTGGAATGAATGTCTGGAATCATAATGATTTAATTCCAGAACTTCAATCAAATGCTTGCTCCTGTGAGGTGAGACGCATCTGAGGTGGGGCCATTCACTCGGGTGTTGAAGGGCGCACAGACACGGTGGAGATTTTGATAGGGGCCACCACAGTTTTTTGATAGGGGCCACCACAGTTTTGATAGGGGACGCGTCAAAGCCCTGGGAAACCACACTGGGAAACGGAGAGTCGTCCAGAGCTCGCCGCCCCCCCCCCCCCCCCCGCCGGCTGTGGGTTAATAACACACGCAGGGTTGATAGACTGCAACCTGGCTACCCATTGCTAACAGTGTTTGGGGCACCCGCCACACACGGGGCACCTGCACAGCTTCAATTTGTCCTCCAGGGCGGGTGTTACCACCCCGGTTTCATAATTAAGTAAACTAAGACGGAGCTGGTTAAGGGGCCCCGACCGCGGCCGGGAGATGGAATGTGACCCAGCCCAGACTCCAGACTTGAGACTCGGGCCGGGCGGGCCTGCCGGGTCTGCCGCCCGGGCGACTGCGCGGAGGCGGGCGCGCGCACCTGCGCCCAGCCCTTCGTCTGCGGGCTTCCGCAGGCCGCGGGTTCGCCCTTCCCTCCGGGCCGACAGCTCCACGCGGGCCGAAAACACGTGGCGCCGCGGAATCCCAGCAGACGGGCGAAGATCGCGGGGGGCGCGCTTGCGCGCTGGGACGCCGCCGCCCGGCGCTCGGCGCAGGGTCCGAGTGGGAATAACCACAAACCGCTCTGGGAGGAGATGGCTGAACAAAAGCGGTCATCGTTGGACTGGTTTTCTCAAAATAAAAAAAGAAAGAAAGAAGATCTAATGGATACTGTAAAACATACTGTACGCACACAAACAAAACAGGCACGCAGACAAAATCCAACAAAGACCCCTCTCTTCTTTGGTAATACCATCAATGGCCCTTCCCGAAGCTTTCGCTGCTGCTGCCTTTCCACCATCTGGGAAAAACAACAAAGGGGTCGATCCCTTTAATTTCAGAAGCACGTAGGTCCATGTGTAATAGTAAAAAGCTTTTTTCAAAGTTAATTTACGTAGTTTCATTTGCAGGATTGACTTTGCTATCATACAGCGACAGAAGGGCGATAAACTCTGGAAAGCAGAACTGTGGTAACCATGGTAACGGGATGGGGCCTGGACCGCGCTCCGCGCCTCGGGGAAGCGGGGCCAGAATTCAGTCGTCGTTTGGCCTGTTCGCCACGCCGTAGGTCGCGGTGCATGATGGGTCTCGCAAATATGGCGTCCTCCTTGATGTGCTGATGAGAGGAGTTTCACTGTAGCTTCAAACCAGAGGACAAAACTCCGCAAACCCCATAAGCTCACGTTATCCGCCGTCTGCGCGGCTCCGTGTCGTCCGTTTTCAGGACTTATTCTCAGGCAGGAGAGAGCCACGGGGCCGAGGGCCAGGACCGGCCCGGTCGCACGGACTCGGGGCTGAGCAGCCTGTGCGGGCGAGCACGATGGGCCGGTCCTGGCTCTGGTTGCAGCAGCTGCGGCGAGTGCGGGACCCGCAGGGCTGAGCGTGGCCGGAGGAGGCCCGAGGTGCTCTGGACCTCTTCCCTTTGGCCGGAGACCTCCGCCCAGGCGCGAACCGACGGCTTGAGCGGGCCGCCTGCCGGGCTGTGCTTGGAGGCCGAGAACGGGGTCATCGTGAGGCCTCAAGTGTCGCACGCCTTTGACAGCTCGGCCTGCGGCCCCTTCGGGCGCGGACCGCTTCTAGAGCAGCCAGCGGCCGGGTTCCCGGGGGCGTGTGCGTCTGTGTCTGTGCGGCGCTCCCGGAGCTGCCCAGTTTCCCACCGGCTCCCCCCCCCAACTCCGACGTCCCGCTCGGAGTTAGAAGGATCTCAGCAGACTTTTTGCCTGGTGAGGGGCTCCGCGCACGCTACCTTTTTCTGTTTCTACTCCACCTCTTTTCTGTGATTTCCCCAGTTCTGGTACACACTAGCCTTTAAGGCTGGAGGTTCTCGAGCGCTTGCTGCCGAGGACTCCCCCTCCCCCACCCCTCCTGATGGAGTCCGAGATGCTGCAGTCGCCTCTCCTGGGGCTCGGGGAGGAAGATGAGGCCGACCTTACCGACTGGAACCTGCCTTTGGCTTTTATGAAAAAGAGGCACTGTGAGAAAATTGAAGGCTCCAAATCCTTAGCTCAGAGCTGGAGGATGAAGGATCGGGTAAGTGGACTCCGGCTGCGCCCCCCGGACCTTGGTGGTTCTTTCAGCGGAGAAAAAGTTCAGAGCCAAAAGATTGTCCTTGGGAAAGCGGCGATTTTCGCCCCCCAGCCACAGTTACAAGTTAACTAAAAAGCACAAATCATTTCAGGCTCCGGTTGTTGGTTGACAGCGTGAAGGCTGTTCTGGGTTGTAGTTATGCGCTGGGTAGTGTTAATTCAAACTAAGTTTGCTTAAGACAATAAAAGTTAAGCAGTTTCGCAATTACAGCGTTGCAAGTATTTACACACTGTGGTTTACTTAGTGCTGGTAACACTGAGTGGAAAAACAACTTGTGATGTAATACGTGTACCCACATGGTTGGTCTGTTGTGGTTAGTTCACTTCTTTCGTCCGAGCTAGGTGAATGCAGAAGTGTAGTATGGTGTGCTAGGAAACAAGGTTACTGGCGATTGTTCGGCTAGTAACAAGGTAACACAAAGTTATTTTAAAGTTACAATGAACTTCATCACAGCCTTCTGAACAGTTTGCCTTGGAACCAGACTTTCCTCCTATGTGGGGCCCTGTGCTGTAACTTGGAGACAGAATTTCCCCAGTGGTGGAGTTAGAGTAAGAATGATGGATTGGGACTGGGGTCCAGGTTTCAGGACGATTCCCCTGGTGCTGGAGTGTGGACGGTGGCGCACAAGCAGGCAGTAGGGAAGAAAACAGCCAGTTTCGCTCACTCTGTCCTTCATCAGCCACTGTCTGTTTCCTGGTCTCCAAAGCCAGTGGGTGGGACTGTCTCATTATGTGCACTTATCATTTGTCTTTGTGACTTATTTTCTCCTTCAAGATGTTCTTTATTCATATGAACATTTTAGTGGTATAAAAGGGGGAGTTGGTGTTACAATTCAGTGTGATTGCTCTAGGCTTATGAAAATGTATGTTTATATCAGATTATTGTATTTGGTATACGATGTTAAGCGTATGTAAGATTATCCTTATGGTAATTCTAGTCAGTCAATCACTAGTAACCAGTGCTGCAGGTACTGTTTTGGCTTACTTTCAAAGGGTTAGGAACATTCGTTTCATCCAAAAGTATTTAAAGGAGTAAAAGAGGTGGTCTTTGGGAGGGACCGTACAAAGTGTGTCTTGTGGACATCTTTAGTGCCGGTCACTTAGTTCAAGGCTTTTGTGGTTGCTCTGCGCATGTGAAAACACATTTATTTTAAAAGTTATTGTCTAATCATTTTTTTTCATCCTACTTGAAGGGCATTTTTTTTTCTCCTTTGGAGTGTGGTTTTCTCTCCTACGCTGAGTACATGCACAAACTGTTCACAAGTGATTAATGAAGTTAGATATTTTTTCCCTTTTCATTAAAACACTAATTTGTCAGTGATCAACATAACCCATGATAAGTTCTTCAGAGGTTGTCAGGAGAAAGGAAAGTCCTGTGAATCTGCGTATTACTGAGACGGCTACTTAGAAAAGAGCTGGGGGAGAACTTCGCTGTATCTGACGTTTGCAATTGTTAACGGAAGAGAAAACCAGCAGCCAGCAGTTGGGGAACACTTGGCATCTGAACAGCCCTTGCGGCCTCGCTCCCCTGGTTGGATCCTGAGGGTGTATTTTCGGCACACCCAGTAGGCCAAAGGTCGCAAATGCAAGTGCTGTTCAGGTGCAGTGTGACAGGGGTGTCCAACTCACGTTCACCAGGGGCCTGATGTAGAAAACAGCATAAATGAGCGAAACGGGCCAGATACAAGAATAGTGGTAGAGGTCCAGAGGTCAGTGGCTGGTGACCTCTGACCCCCGTGTGAGTGTCCGAAGGATGAAACAGTGGCCTCTGGAGGCGTTGCCGTGGGTACCAGGGCAGCGGGGCTCAGCCCCATCTCCTTTCTGTTCTTTGAAAAGCCAGAAAACATTTCTAAAAAATTACTTTTTAATATAAAGTCTTGTGATTTTGAAATATTGGCACTAGGTCAGATATTACAAAACATGAAGCTGGTTCTGGCCTGTGGGCAACCTCTGCTCTGGTGCCTCCAGGCAGCCCCCTGCTGCTGGGGACCTCGCCCACGTGGGCACGTGGGTTGTGTGCGCAGCCAGACGGCGCAGCCTCGTGGGGACGCAGCAAGGAGGGCCTCGTTATTGTGTGCCAGGACCTGCGACAGCGACTGCCAACTGGTGTGTGCGGGAATTTTTAAAACATGTAATAAATACCCGACTATTTATTCAGGGCCACTGACCTCTTTTCCCATAGACCACCAAATAAAAAAAATCACAACAGCCAACACAGCAGTAGCCATCTGGTGTGAATGATTCAAAATTATACCTATTTTTTGTCAGATCGGCAGAAAATATATTTATTGGTGTGCTGCGGAGTTTTAGCCACTAATTCATGTGCCGTGAGGTGAGAGCCGGTGACAGTCGCCAACCAGTTCCAGCGGGCTGTTGACCGCCCTGAAGGCAGAGCCGGTCTCCGGGCCCTCCTGCCATCATTGTGCAGCTCCACCCAATTTTGTTTCGTGTCTGTGTCGGTGGTTACTTAAGGAACCGGAAAAGCCGGCGTTCGTGCTGCCTGTCACCTACCAGTAAGAGAGACAGGGATTGAATCTCTAATGGTGCTGTATTCAGATGGCTGGCCATCTGAGAAGATGGGCAAGTTTGTGCCCTAATAGACGGTCCTAAGCCAGCCCTTCTTATAAGGAGTAGAGAAGTGTAGGTAAGGAGATTAGAATTCAGGGGAGAAGTTAATCAGATAAAAGCTGCAGGATCTTTCATCTGTGCCCTGGGTGGTGGTCTCTATCTGTGCCCTGGGTGTGGGCGGCTCACCCTGGAGCATGTGGCTCAGATTCCATTCCAGTTGCTTGCAGCCCTCCTGAGGCACAAAGGTGGAACTGCTTGGGGTCTCCCGGGTTCAGGGTGGGTCCCACCTTCAGTTCCTGGAATTTTTACTGCATTGATTGCTAAGCTTATTAGCTATTACCTGAAACTAAAAATTTCCCAACATTTGAGTCCCCCATCACTTACTGGTGCCCTATTTAGTGGCCTAGCAAGGATTAAGGATTCCTAAAATTGACGTCTTTGCTGAAGTTGACCAAGAACTCTAAAAAGATTCCTGCCATTTGGCTTTCAGCTCTTACAGAGCCGCCGGCGTGTCCGCTCCCCGTTGGCGTCCCCTGAGTCTTTGTTTGTAGTCAGTCATGGTTTTCAAGTGCCACTGTTACTGCACTTAGTTACTAAGTTGCTGTCGGTTTAACACTGTTATTATCAACTTGGTTTGGTTAATTTGTGTACATGCATCAACAGCCTCTGTACCTTGTACTTTTCGAACAACTAGACATACTCGAACTACTGTAGATCAGGATGAATGATGCACAGACCTTGGGCTAAAGCCGACATGTACAGATGTCCCCCGTTTGTGGTTTGCTGCGCTGCTTTATCGTTACCATAGTTCACTTTCCCACCAGAAAGCGGGCAGACGGGGACAGCTGGTCTCAGGTGGCTCTTTGGCCTCAGCATCTGTGGGCTGGAATGGGGAGGCTCGGGGGCTGTTGCTGGGCAGGAAGCCATTGGCCGACTCACTCCCGCTGCCCGGGAGGGGGAGGAGGAGGAGGAGCTGTAGAATGATGCACCAAGTGGCCGGAGGGTTTGAAGAGTGTGACTCAGACTCCATGACTTCCTTCCTGCCCCGCCTCCCTTGCCCTCCCCAGCCTCCCGAGGGTCTGGAGTAGCATCCAGATTCCTCGCCCTGGTTGGAAAAGCTCCGTGGTCTGGCCCCACCTGCCCTTCTGCTTCCTTCTGTCCTCTGACCCTCGCACACCTGGCTCCTCCTTGTTCTTGGCACTTGCCTGCTAGGTCACCTTCTCAGATGTCTTCCCTGTCACCACATTGGAAGTAGCTCCCGGTCACTCGTGATCAGTCTCCAAGTCTCTGCTGTCTTTCTTCATGTTCCCGCCCCCAGAGCTGAGCTTTTTATCATAAAGCAAGGACCTTGTCTTTGCTGGCACAACACACAGAACAGAACTTGGCCTGTTGTGGGGATTCGTTGAAACTGTGCAGATGAAAAGATTAACAGTGTCCAAAGGGCTCCCGTGGAGGTCGTGTCTCTTACAAGCAGGTCACCGTGAGTTAGTCCGGGACCCTCACCTCTATGCACCTGATTAGGAAACTGCTGCTTCAGTCAAATAGCTCGTCTAAAGTCGCAGAAGTTACGTGGCCAGCAACCAGAGGAGGCAGAACTTGAGAAAGCAAGCCTAGATTGAAAACCCACCGACCGATCGACCGACCGATTGCAGTGTTAGATCCATATTATGAGGCCAGGGAGCCAAACGAAATGTGCCGGGCGGGCCACTGAGTGGTGGTGGGTGTGCAGCCGACAGAGACGGTACTGCCCGAGGTGCTGCTGTCCTCACAGTGGCCTCAGGGGGCCACGAGGTCAGCACCATTTCCACAGTCACAGAGATGTCATTGGCCTTCTGTCCCGCTGCCACCTGGGTTGACCAGGTGGCAACTGCTGGAACAACTGCTGCAGGCACTGTGGCCTGGCCACCGCCTTGCACTCACCACAGAGACTTTCCAGGCTTCGCCTGAGAGTGTCCTGACGGGGCAGAAGTCACCAGTGTCATTAAACCCTGGCTCTCGGGTACACGCTTTTCTGGTTCTGGGCACCCCGGCTTTGTGTGATGACCCTCTGCCGGGAGCGTTGGGTCGGAACTGGACCGGAAGAGGCTTCCAGGCCAGCTCTGGTCCCTTGAGCTTGGTGCTCTGCAGACATTTCCTAGAAAATGAGTGCAGTGAGTCACTGCGTCCCCTGAGCACACCCCCTGCCAGGGGTGCGCTCTGAGCTTCCCACTGAGAGTGCAGCACTTTGGGGACCTGTGTCTGCCAGTGTGGGCGTCCCGGCTTCGCAGGGCTTCTGGGCTTTCTGATGGGTCGGTCGTGGCCAGGTGGGTGACCGGGATTCGTGTCCACATTGGAACAGTAAGCGCATGTGTCCAGGCGGCCGAGCCACGGTGCCAC